AGTTTAGATTAGGTTTCAGCAGTCATTGCCAAAAATATCTCTGATGTTAATCGTATTAACTGCCCAGAACAAAATTGTTCTTCTAAGGAATTTGATAAAACAGTAGATACTTCAAAGGGACAAAACAGAATGTTGAATTTCCCTTAGTTGAGGATCTCTAAACAGAAGCAAAACAACAGCTGAAGAAAGCTTCAATCCGTGTCTTTAAAAGTGTGGTTTTCAGAAAGACAGGTAGTGACTACATGATCTCACTCATGTGGAATATTAAAACATGGATCCAACAGATGTTGAGAGTAACATGGTGGTTACCAAGAGACTGGGGAGAGAATAGAGCAAGGAACATATGGGAGAGTTTGATCAACAATTACTAAGTTAGAAGAAAAAGGAATTTCTACTGCATTATTGTACAGAGGGTAATAGGTAAGAATGGCATATAAATATTCACTCCCCATTGTACAGAACTCCTCTCTATATTTTTATCTCCTAAGTAATCTACTATGTATTTTTAAAAATTAAAAAAAGCTAAAAGAAAGGGTTTTAATGTCTTTAATATAAATAAATGATAAATGCTTGAGAAAATAGACAATATTTACCCTGATTTGAGTGTTACACAAAGTCTCTATCAAAACATCACATGGTGTTCCACAAATATGTATAATTTTTATGCATCAGTTACAAACATTTTTTTAATGTGGATTTGTGGCATCTTTTATCCCTTAATCATTTTATATATTTGGAAACTGTAAACAAAGGTAGCAACTATGCGTGAATGAAATACTATGCATAACTGGATGATCACTGCTGGACTAAGGCAATTGGAATCAAGGTTTTCTGAAATTAAGCAGAAAACTTAATAAGGTGACTCCAAGAAGTCTGGGTGGCTGAAGTTTGCCAGATTACCAGGCTTGAAGAGAATACCCACCTAATTTTAAGTGTTCAATATGAGGGTGCTTGGTGCATCGTTGGTGTTCCCTAATAGCTCACTCCTCCACATTAACTAGAGGTAGCCTGTTTTGATTTTAGAGTATAATATTAATGACATTTTAAAAACTCAAAATTTCACATTAATTTTTCACTCAATATAAGAAACTTTCCTCCCTGGATTGGCATATCTTGTTCTGGAAATCCATTAATGTTAGCATTCCATTATATCTACCAGCAGGGCAGTCATCATTTGAAACCGCAGACATGTTCACAATAGAAGTGATTTCCCTGATCTGAGAATGGCCTATAAATATTCACTCCCCATTGTACAGAACTCTACTTCTTTCTATATTTTTATTTCCTAGGTATGCATAATGGAAATCATAATGGGGATCTTGACTCTACCCTGGCTCTCTTTGCTTGCAGATGAACACCAGACTCTGGGAAGAAGTAAAACGAATAAATCAAAATGAGACCCAGGGCTACAGTTGCCATGGATGCTTCAAATCCCCATGCACAGATCCTCAGAAAGATGAGCTTCTGCCACTTTATATTTATATTTGGTTTCTCCCAACCAGTGATGTTGAGAGGTCATATGCAATGTGATTGACTAATTGCCCCAGCTAGTGTGCAAATCACTGGGAGAAACATGAGCTTTGAGCTTGAACCAGAAGCTCTTTCAAGCACAAAGTGACTATTCTAATCATGAGTCAAGATTTCAAATGAGCTTTTCAAGTTCTCATGAACTCACTTCCATTCATGTCACAGAGCCCTCTGATATTTTCTCCAAAAGGTAACTCATTAGACCTCTAATTAATGTTAATCTATTTGTATTTATTTTTCCCATTTACTGTCATGTTAAGGTGAATGTCTCACCACCAGTGACTTGGAGTGATCTGGGCACAGCTCCAACTTTTGGTAACAAAGTAGCTTTACTAAGGCAACTCTGAAGTCAAATGTCTGAGAAAATTTCCATAATTCTGCTGTGACCAATTGTTTCCTTCCCCTCATTTCTTTATCCCCTTTTAGCCAACCCTTGCTTTTATTTAAATAAATAACTAACCCTACATTTAGATTTATTAATTAACTTCACTTTATTTCTGATAACTAAGCTTGATAACACTTCTTCTTCCTACAAAATAAGTTCATCCTCTCATCCTTACAGCTTAATGAAAGTTATCTTTATCAGTTTTGGTGATGTGGCTATCTTAAGCTTCCATAGGATTTTTTCCCTGAAATTTGAGTGGAAGATGCAACATAATAATAGAAAATCAAACAAAGAGTTGCTGATGTGTAATAAAACACAACTAAATAAATCAGTATATCATTTAGGATAAGTGACATAGTAGATCATAAGTGCAGGAAATCCTCAGTCAGTTAAATGGTAATCAGTTTTCTAAGTGCATAGTTTTGAAGCCTTCTTATAAATCAATAATTTTTCTTTATTAATTCACCTTTGCTATATGTTTGTGGACATTGTTCCCCACCTTTTAAGCTTTCTCAGGGCACCACCAATTGTGACTTCTCTCAATCCATTTATTCAGTGTTCTAAACAAGAGGACAGTATCCCTATTAGCAAGCACACTACCGGCTTGCATATGTTAAAAACTATTAGGTGGTAATATATACATGTAATCCTGTCAAAAATCCGGCAAATACAGCTCCCTTTATGTACAAAGAAAAAGATACCCTTCTTTTATTATAACCCAGGGAAAGAGGTCAAACTATTTCCCAATGTCTTGCAATGAGAATGCAGCATAATTGAGACCAAGTGGGTCAGCCCTGACTTCCACATTCTTTCAAGTGAATAAAAATGATTTGCAGAGAAGGTATTAATTCTACTTTTCAATAACCTTTTTAAAAAGTCATTCTTCTGTTTCAATAAATATAACTAATCTAAGAGCATTTGCAATCCTTTACAGAAATCAATAGTTCATATATTCCATTAATCCTTGAATTGACCAGGGTTTTAAAAGTAATGAACTTGGGGATACCATAACAAAGTACCACAGAATGGGTGACTTAACCTACAGAAATTAATTTTCTTACTGTTTTGGCTGCTGTAAGTCCATGATCAAAGAGACAACAGAGTTGGCTTCTCCTCCCGCCTGTCTCCTTAACTGGTAAGTGACTGTGCTGGGGCTTTCTACACACATGTTCTTCTGTGCCCAAATCCCTGGTGTCTCTTTACTTGTCCAAATTTCCTCTTCTTAAAATGAAACTTAGTCATGGATTATGGCCTATTCTAATGTCCTCATCTAACCTTAATTAACCTCTTTAAAGTTCCTTTCTCCAAATTCAACATATTCTGAGATACTGAGAGTTAGAGCTTCCACCTACAAATTTGGGGGGAACAGCCCATAATAGTCTGCATAATTGAACTACAGCACAGAATGTTGAATTTCTATTGGTGAAAGGATTTGCCATTGTAGTCCTTGGACCAGTTCAAACAAAGGAAGACAGAAACTTATCTGTACTTTAAACAGCTGATGAAGTTTGAAGTAAGCAAACAGAAGATGAGTTATTTCCTCATGTCAGAGAATATTTTGAGTATATGATTGACATAAATAGGATATGAGAAACACTGGTACTGTGGCAATGAACAAAAATGCATGAAAGCCAGAAAGCTGAAATTATGGATGTCAGGCGAGAGGCATTTACAATCACATGTCCATGAAGTAATAAACTTAGTACTTTGATGTTTGTGTCAAGGAGAAATGATTCTTGGAGTAAGCAAAACACTTCAGTGGAATTTGGGATATTAGAGAGAGTCTAATATCCCAAATGATAAAAATATTTCTAAGAACTATAAGTCGTCATTTTTTAAAAATACAGGTTGATATTAAGTCCAAAAGGCTGAATAATAATAGTAACAAAAACAACCACAAAAGCCTGAAGAGGAAACACCACAACTAACTTTTAGAATATTTAAGAATCTGATGTCCAGAACAGAATCATGGCCCTTTCAGGAATGCAACAACAGTTCTTCATAATAAAATTCCCAAAATTCATGAAAGATTCACAAGTTAGGAAAAAACAATGGAAGTTCCACAACTGTCTTACATTTTAACATCTGTATAAAACTTAGGAAGACTCTGTGGGAGAACTGTTGTTATATTTGGAATATTGTTGAGAATTCCTTAAAGGACAATTATCAGTCAAAGAATTTTTGGCCTAAAATAAAAGACCAAAAGCTAGTATAATTTCTTTTTAACAGATTGATAATTTACCTATTAAAATGCTGCTAGAAAAGATCTGGTGTCAAGGTGCAAGTGTATTATGAATGAATAGGAAGATTATTTTCTCACTTTAGGAAGAGAATCAATATGAAGCATGCATCATATATTTCCTCAAGTTCAAGGGAAAAGGTGGTAAATTAGGACAAATCCTATTTGGGAGAAATGAATACATTTGACATTAGCAAAGAGCAATTGGAATAATAATAAAATTCACAAATACTGTCACTTAAGATGAATGCTGCATTGCCAGATACAAAAGGAGACTCATGAAAATAAAAACTAGAAATTGCCAATCTCAGGGACTTGGATAGTGTTTTATAAAAATGAGAAAGTGCATTAAAGTGTTATGCTATAGAATATAGGATCCAGTGAACACTTGGTTTGTTAAGTCAGCAGTTTGATGGCACACAGCTGATATTTTAGACTATAATCCCCATGGCAGTGGCAGACAGGGGATTCTGATAGCCAGAAACTATGCTACAGCACAGTGAAGAGTTTATGAGCATCTAAATAGACAATCAATTTGTAACAACAAATCACATCATTATATACAACTATACTGCAAGGATAATAGAATGAAACAGACATTATTACCTTGTGTACTTATATGACTGCATGACCTATGTGATTCTACAACATGTACCATCAGAAAAAAATGACAAATTATACCCCATCTATGCATAAAATATCAAAGTGCATAAATCTATTCTACTGTCATGTATAACTAATTTAAACAAATAAAAATAATTTTTTAATGTGGAATAAAAAAATACCTTAAAAGAAAGAAAAAAAAGAAGAAAATCAGCAAAGCAGATAGATTAGGAGAGATGGATTTATTTGATCCACTGGAATCCTGAGAGTCATGCTGATAAATGAGACTCCAACAGGTGAGACAGTGAGAAGATGGACACAGCTTTGTGATTTCTGAGAGGCTAAAGAGATGTCCATGCTCTTAATCTAGCAAAGAGAAAAGAAACACAAAATACAGAGCAAGTCAGACTTCAAGTCCAAAGTTCTGCTTAAATTGAGAAGGAGAAATCTAGGAAAGAGTGAGAAAATGTACATCTTAGTATCAAGGTTCCCATTCCCACTTGTGATGGCTTGTATTCAGCACTTTCTGCACTTTTCTCTCTTCTAAAATTGTTGGCCTTGCTCAAGGATAATGCTGTCATCTATAGACCTTGCTTCTCATCTCTAGGAAGGAAACTAAGTACAAAAATACATGTACACTTTCAAGTGAGGAGCTGATTGCCAACTTAAATTAATAAGTTCAGCTTCATTTTCCCACTGAAGAAGCACTTTTAAAAATAGAATAAATCTGAGTGTATGGTCACAGCTATATAGTTATCCTGTAATGCTTAAACTAAAAAGGGAAAAATATGAAAAAGGGAATGGAAAAGACTTTTGACTTTTGAAATAAAAGTCAAAGTTAGAATTTTTTCCCCTACTTAAGAGAATATTTTTATGTCACAAGTGAATGGGTAGCCTGAGTAACTTTGTCATTTTTGAAGAAAACTGAATGGATATGGGTGGTTTTAGTCCGAGATAGTGACTCAAGAGGAGATAATTTAAAAGACAGATTTGATTACATAAAATGCCAAAACACTTTCACTCTCATAACATACCTTTTGTGTAATGTGTTCTTCTTCCTATTGGGACCACCTTAAATTAAACAGTGGCTCTCTGAGAGCATACAAGATTTTATTGCTTAGGCAGAAACCCTTTTAAGGCCACTCTGGGATTTACCTGGTAGTGTTAGGAAAGGGACTGCATCAGAGAAGGTCTGCAAAGCCCAGCACAAAATGTTCAATTCAATCTGAGGAAATGATCAACTCATTCAAAATATCTGTGGAAAGGAAATTTCCAGAATCTTGGGAAAGGAAAGGTATTCCATTTTAAACAGCTTTTTAATTAAATGTGCATACTCAAGACATCCTTTCTCTGAGCAGCAGAAATATTTGAATTCCCTGAAAAGTTTCCTTTCCCTCCTGATGAGAGTTCTTTGGGATTAAGGAGTCATCTCAAAATCCCTATAAGATGTTTCTCACTTTCTGAGAGAAAAACAAAACAAAACACTAGTTTGAGTTGCAAAAATTGAGTTTATACAACTTATGTGGATACAAGTATGTTTAAAAATATACATTTGATGTTCTGTGAAGTATGACTTGACAAAGCTTTAGGGGAATTGCTCTACATTTGCAAAAGTATTTTGAGCAGAGAAAGGAGGAAAACTAGGACCATTAGGTATTATTCAGTAGTACATATACCTGATGAATTCACTGTCAAACTCTGTTCGGAGAATGGGACTTGCCTGCTTCAAAAAGGAAAATCACAGAGTCTGACAGAATAAACAAGTTGTGTGAGACAAGGAGAAATGATTGCATTGTTTCTACTAAAGAGAATACTGGTAATTTCTGGTACAATTTTTTTCTTCCATCTTTATTTCAATCAGTAACTATTCCATCAACCCAAAAGCTCAGAGTGTTTGCTCTAAATTTCAGTGTCATGTTGACCTTTAGCAGCTCCTACTGGGAAGCACAATTTTTATCCAGAAAATTTACTTTCTTATGAAACCCATGAAAGAAGAGTGAGTAAAAATTGTTTTTCTCACCTGAGCAAAATCAGCATAACATTTGAGGCCTTTGTCTTATTTGGGAAACTCATCACTCCAATGGATAGATTGTGTCTACAAGGCTGAAAATCATGGCAAAGTGCTTCTCATTTACAAAAAAGAGTAGCATTCCTTTCTTTTAGAAGTAATACTTTTCAGTATGGGCTCAATTTAAACTAGTATTGATTTATAATTTATATATTTTTATTCTTATTTTGTCCTTTGGAATTAAGGAGTCATCTCCTTGATTGGAAGAATTTGAAGTCCTTGATTTGAAGAATTCTGTAAATAAATAAAGATGTGTACATCTTACTAATTAAAGTGCTTTGGGAGGCTGAAATCAGGATAGAAGAAATTTCTACACATATAGTAAGTGTTGGTATCTGTAATGTTTAAAAATTATTACTCAAGATTTCATGTTAGAAAATGTATTTCCAACATTCATATTTTCTGAATTAATTTGTAACAGACTGGACTTTAGGTAGGAACTTATGAAACATGGAAAATGTCTCTTAATGGTTGAAGATCTAAGACTGTCAGACAAAAATCAGAAACCAAATAAGTTTGAGTTATAATGTCTCTGACTCTAGAATGTTGATTTATTTGCATAATAAACTTTACTTTGACATATTCTCAAAATTTTGTTAAAATATTTAGTTGACTCCTATGCTAAGTCATGTTCTAAGTGTTTGTTTCCCATTTTTAAAAGTTGACTTTCCTTAACTCTTATTGCCAACAAACTACCATCCCACTTCTGTAAGGAACCAGGGTTTTTTATATACTATTTCCTCTTCCCAAACTTCCAATCATGCAGAACTAATTTTTACTCCTCTTCCCCCACTAAAACTGTTTTAGACACAATCCCAATGTCTTTTATGCCGCTCATTCCAAGGAACGCTTCAGCCTTGGTCTTTCTTGACCTTCCCCAGCATTTGACACTATTGATCCTTTCTTAAAAAAAAAAAAAAATTCATTCTACAAGAACACACTCTGCTTAAGCTATTACCATCCAGATTTCCACGTCACCTGTGAGTGTGGGCATGATTCTGCTTCTACCACAACTCCAGACTCACTTTGCATTCAGCACCTAATTTACTCACTATAGTCCATCAGATTTGCTTCTTTTTGTTTCTGGGATTCACCTAACTCTTTCCCAACTTTAAGTTATTTGTAAATGCCTATATGTTCCCCGAAACACTCTTCATACTATCCACATGGTTAGTTATTTATCATCTTTAAAGATTACCTTAAATGACAGTAAAGGAGATCTTTCTTGAATTTCAAATAAAAATTAGGTTTTTCCCCTTTATTGCACCTGCTCCTATGTTTTCATAGTAGCACAGGGAAATGGGTTTCATTCACCTATATCACCAGAACCTACACTATTACTTAGTAAGCACCCTGAATTGTGTGCATAAAATTAACTGTAAATGGTGTCTGCTTTCAACAAACTTCAAGTCTAATAATAGATATAAATGATAAAATATTCAATACAAATTCATTACACTAAATGTTCTAATAGAAAATATATGAGTGCTTGCTGACTCCTACTTCAGTAAAATACAAAGTGACATCTGAAGAATGAATATGAATCATCCAAACAAAAGGGTTAGGTACGAAAAATGTTTCAGACAAATGAAAATAGATTTCAAAGAGCCAGTGGGGAAATTATCTCAAAATGTTCAGGCCTAGTGAGTATTTCTGCCCTGCATGTGACAAGGGTTAACACTGAACACCTCACTTTGAACATTGTCTGTTGTGTTGGGCCATCAGTAAGTTTTGCTTTCATGGAAGAAAAACTCAGAGGAAAAAGGATAAAACATTCTTACACCTACCACTTTATATTGGTGACTAAGAGAAAAATGAACAGTGTTTTATAGTGTGATTAAACATCATTTACTTATACAGTCATCAAATTATGAATGTACTCTGCTTCAAAACTCATTTATAAGTTAGATATAAAAATACATACTTCCAATAATCATATTTTAATTTTACTTAGATAACATTTAAGTCATTATAAATTAGTATTTTAAAAATCATAGCTCCTAAAGAAGATTGCAAGAAAGGTTTTTTTAAAGAGTAAGAGCACTACAAAACAGAAAATAATAAAAGAAATGGCAACAAATAAGTGAAGTAAGTCAATCCCCCAAACCCAAATGCTGAATATTTTCTCTGATATGAGGAATCTGATCCTTAATGAGGAAGGTAGGAGGGGGAGAATATGGGAGGAATGAAGGAACTTTGGATAGGTCAAAGAGGAGGGAGAGAAGAAAGAGGGCAGAGGGGTAGGAAAGACAGTGGAATGAGATAGACATCATTATCCCAAGTTCATGTATGAAGACATGAATGGTTTGACTCTACTTTGTGTACAACCAAAGATGTGAAAAATTGTGCTCTATATGTGTGTTATGCATTGAAATGCATTCTTCTGTCATATATA